GCACATGTATTTCCATGCCACCCCATTCTATACATATGTGTGCGCACATGTATTTCCATGCCACCCCATTCTATACATATGTGTGCACATGTATTTCCATATCACTCCGTTTTTTTATGTGTGTGTGTGTGTGTGTGTGTGTATTCCCCTATACCACCTCCATTACACCAGTACCCCACCAACACAAAACCACAGGAGGGGAAGAAAAAAGAATTTGGCTTCGAGGTTGAGAAGCAGGAGAGGAAATTAATGTTACAGCATGCCCATATATACCAGGGGCCCAGCCGGTGTGCCGTTACGTTTGAAAGTTATGTGGTGGAAATATAAAGAAAATTCACCATTTCAAATACAGAACTGGCGAAGAATCACATATTGCATCTGAATCATGGAAAATTAATGAGATGACATTTTATGCATGTGGGTGCGGGTGTGTGCATACACGAGAAACAATTACTCCTCCCTGTTACTATTTTAGTATCATTGTCATCATCATGATCATCCGCAGGGTGGGGTCACTGGTCTCCCTGTGTGAGCCCTTGTGTTTCCCAGCCCTGAAGCCCGCAGTACCAGCATGGTGACACCTCCCCGGATTGCAGACAACATGGCAGGAGGCAGAGCTTCCACGATTTTCACTGCCCTGCCATCAGGGAGGTCTGGTTTCGGGCCTTTCTGCGAGCTGTAGTCCAGAAGCATGGACATCTCCTGAACTTGACTCCTCCGCTAAACCAAACCGCTGTGGGCCTCTCAATGGTTAACACTTTCCAGGAAGACTTGCTTGTCAAAAGTGCCCCTCTCCTCTGCAGTTCTCAGTTACTTGAGCATCCGAGTATTATTGTGGTATGAATGAGAGATAGGGACAATGAGCAAGGGGGTATGAGGAGACAGGTGCCTACGTTGCTATCATTTTTATCAGAAAGTACAGTCACGCTCCTAGGATGAGGGATAGGGTTTAAGAGGATACATTCTTGAATTGAAACATGTGATTTGAATCCCAGCTCTACCGTTTGATAGGTGATGTGATCGTGGCCAAGTTACTTAACTTCTGGAGGTGTGATGAGGATTCAACTGAGCGTTTTCATGAACAAATGCTCAAAAAATGTGAGGTAAGCAACACCAATACCTGCTGTTGAAAGTCTAAGTGGTGTTGGGATTGGAGGAGCATGCTAATCCAGGGGCCAGTTCCCAGGTACTTAAGAGATCAAATGTGGCTGCTAATCCAGGGATGATTTCCCAGGTGCTTAAGAGATCAACGGTGGCACTGACATACTGCAGACACTTGTTAAAGTTCCATTAAAAACAGTGGGCCGGAGGAGGATGAGAATAATTTGTTAGTCTTGACGGCCTGCCCCATGGCCACAGAAGCAATACACACTACCTGAAACAGTGGTAGCCTCCTAGCGGTGAACTCGCCAACCAGAGGCTGTCTGTGGTGCCCGAAGAACCCAGTTGTTCTGAAGGAGGGACTGGTATCAGAGCTTAACCTGTGAGCACCCAGATTTCTTCCTGAAAAGTTAAAGGCCAATGAGAGACCCACTCACTCGCACAGATACGATAGGAAAAGAGAGCCTCCCATAAGAGTACTCGTGCCCTGTTACTTAAATGAGCCGATGCTCGTGGGCAAAGGAGAATGCTATTACGCAAATGGTTCACCTAATGGGGGTGCAAACAGTGTGCTCTTGTCTCCTAACCTAAAGGTTGATAGTGGTAACGCACTCAGTGGTGCCACGGTAGAAAGGTCTGGTGATCTGCTTCCATAAAAATAACCGCAAAGAAAACCCTATGGAGTAGTTCTACTTTGTAATACGTGGATTGCCATCAGCTCAAACTGACTTGTCAACAACTGTTTTCCGCTGTCCTTTTGTAAGGAAAAGGGTCAGATTCCCCCTGTAAATGACCATTTCAATCAACTGCACAAGGACACAGGCTCCGAGGCCTACACTGAGGGGGCCTGATATTAGAGCCAAAAGAAAATAAACAGAAAAGGCAAGCGGAGACACACACAGTTGAGAAAGGCCAGAGAATCTACACCATTCAGTGCAAAGACGGAGTGTGCACTTGCCTGCCTTTGGCCCCTGGGAACATGCATGGCCTGTCGTTGGGCTGCGTCAATTTGTTTAACAAGCCTAAGCACTAAATGCTCTTCACCCACATACCTTCCCCAGGAAACTCTACTCTCAAATTAGCAAATCTCATTAAGTTGCTTTGATATGTGGTCAAATGTTCCTCCTTAACTTTTTGTTGTTTTATTTCTTAAATGACATGAAATTTCAGGATAATTACCCTAAGTTTAAATAAAAGCAATTACCTTATTTATAAGAGAAATTACTTAGAGAAATACTAGTGGCCTTAAAAGGAACATGAATGAATTGCTGGAAGTTATACTGCTGCAATATTAATGCCTAGTTATTGTCTGGCCTAGGGAAAAAAGCAAGCTGCTGCCTTCAATTGCCGACAGAATTCCCTCTCAAAGTGGGTACGCTAACAGCCGGGCAGGCCGGTAGCTGTTGCTATTGTGCAGGCACTTTCACAGTACGAAACCAAGCCAGCTGCTGCTCGTTGCAGGATACGTATAACACAATTAATTTATTCTTATTTCTTCCCCTTGAGCCCATACACAGGGAGCCGGTGTGGGAAATCCATTTAAAGAGAATGCGGCTGTTGTAACTAGTTTCAAAGGTTGCAAACCAACCAGTAAAACTAAAACAAGTAAACGCAGGGGTTGCTGAGGAAACAATAAACATCTAGCACGCACACTTCCTACCAACTTGTGGGTGGTTGGAAAGTGAATTAAAAACGGCTTTGCAGCCTCAAATGGCACGGTGGCGGGCAACAGCTGACAGGGTCTCTGGGAGCCTCTCCTTGCCCAGACACAGGTCC